TAAAGCTATTAATCTTCTCTTATATAAACTTTTATATTTAGAATAGATTATCTAGTAATAGTCTCTATAAAGAGTAAGAGTAGAAGAACTAAGATAGATGCTATAGCTATAGAGTATATAGAATTTAAGTAGCTTTATACTCTAATCTAGTTAGTCTAGCTTATCTATACCTAGTATTATTTTATTTCTTTTTTATATAACTATTCTTACTATATCTAGCCTATTTATAGTAGAAATAGAAGCTTTACTAAATATACTACTCTTAGATTAGATAGTAGCTTTAGAATAGATAACGTACGTCTAGTTATATAGTATAAGAGTCTATTATTATTATACTAGAGAGTATAGTACTCTAGTAGATAGATAGATCTTAGGTTTATAAGGTAAGTCTAGTACCTAGATAGTAAGCTTATTATTTATTAATATAGACCTTCTTCTATAGATTCTTCTATCTTCTCTAGTATAATTTATACTATTCGTTAATATTATCTAATTCTAGCTTGTCTAAGCTTATTATAATAGCGTTAGAGAGCTTCTAGAAGATCTTAACCTTTAGTAACTTAACTATCTACGTCTTTATCTTTCTAGCTATAGTTATAAGCTAGTTATACTTAGTCTTAAAATTTAGCTAGATTTTATTCTTTATCTAGTAGTTAGTAAAGTTAATTCTTACCTATTATAATAGATTACCTAATATATAGATCTAACTTATACTCTCTAGAGTATCTTTAGAAGTTTACTATAGCTAGATAGCTAGGTTATTAGAGTTATTAGTAATTATCTTAAATTTTATTCTTAGTAGACTATAGATATTACCTTCTAGATATTCTATAATATACTATAGTTAGTAGAAGCTAGTATTAAAGATATATTTATTAATCTTAAGAATATAGTAATTACTAGACTACTATATCTTAAACTACTATTAACGCTTTAGTATATTCTTCTTATTACCTTTAAACTTTTTTAGATTCTCTAAAATATAATACTTACTACTACTATTAGTATTATTATTTATAAGGTTTATAAGAGTAGTTATAATATTTTTAATATAATATTACTATTAGTTATTCTTATACT